CCCCCCCCCCCCCCCCCCACCCCATTTTAATCACACGACTAATCGATGACAATTGTTATGAAACCGATGACAATGCCATGAAACCGAAGATAATGTGGTGAAACCGATGACAATGCTATGAAACCGAAGGTTACTTGTCGTGAAAACAATGACAATGTTCTCATCCCACCCCAACCCAACCCCCCCTAGCATCAACTTCAAAAATCGCAGTACTCACACGTTCGGTTTTACACCCGTAGGCATAAACTTGATGTATAATTGATTGGTTTAAGGGAACATCTACAGGAAACCCATAGTATCCCATAGTTTTGGGAGGGGTGACAACCATGGTTTCCTGTAGGTTTGCCCTTAAGCCCCTTAACCCAATCCAATGATGCAAGCTGTTTCAAACAAAAAAACACACAGTGACGAGTGGGAGAGTTGATTCCTTGGATCTCCTGAAAAGAGTTGATGTACGGGAGAACTCGCCATCTTTGAGGGGTGTCAAAGTCAAGTACGGCACTGTGTGCCCCGAACTTGCTGTTTCAAAGCACTCTTCAGCCAATCAACTTCAGCAGCAGCTGAAACCGTGAAACCGTACCGAAGAGCTTCTGTGAAACCGTCCCAGCGGCCACAAATTTTTGGCGGCGCAACCCGCCGTACTCTGGTGGTGACATACATAAGCTTAGACCACCATCCATCAATCTGGTCCGATCTCCTTCCCTTTCCATCGTCGTTTCACACGACCGCCATCTGGGACTGCCAGTCCGGACTGCCTTGTTTCACGGCCCAGGGTGTGTTTTCCGGGGGGGGGGTGTCAATGGGGCAGCAGTCCGGACTGGCAGTCCCAGATGGCGGTCGTGTCTGGTCTCTTAGACCACCATCCCTTCATCGGAACTCTTGCGACCCCCTTTCCGCTGAGAGCAAACCGAGCAGCCAAAACACTCCAGGTGCCATCGCTCTCCGGCTGTGCACTCTCGTAGTGGATGCGCCTGGCTGCAGGCTGCTCAGTCGTCCACGTGTTGCTTTTTGGTGCTTGGCACCCACTGCATGTGGAACATGATGGTTATATATAATATAGTAAACCAAATGCCAAGCAGATCTGGATATAATATCTTCTACCCAAACGCTCCTAGGCCCGAATCCTTTGGAGGGGTCCAGAGTCTCGAATTTCTAGGTTTTGTGGGACCAGTCGGGCGTCGTTCACGGAGCATCTGGCACAAGGCTTTTCTACCAGTAAGAGTGGATGATGATGCTTAGTGAAGGCCTTTGGCTTCGAGCTTGCAGCAGATTTGGATCTATGACTGCAGTCCAAGCGTGACGGTGATGTCCTTTTTTTGCCATGGGTCAATCGGCCATACTGGCCATCGGCCATACCTGGATACCTCAACTTACCTAAGTTGGCCGTTGGACTTCTTTCTTCTCCCAGTCCGAGTCATCTGAACGCGTCAAGGGGTCGCGTCACGTGAACGTCTGGAATTCTTGGGTCGCCTGTTAAGGGGTCGCAAGCACCAATGCATGCAAGCTGGATGGAGTCAGCTCATGCACGAAATATGTGAGTGGTTGGAAGTCAGCACTTCACCGATGTTCAAAGATCGAAGACATGTTTTTCTCAATTGATCCATCCAATTCTTCGAAGTACACCATGGGGGTTCGCATGGTGTTCGGACTTGGTGCCTGTGATCATCTCTCAAAAACAGACATTACATTGACATCTTCTTGGACAAGACGTTAAATGCCGAGGTCACCCGCTGCGTTGGCGTTTCGGCTGCTTTATATCGGGCAAACGAAGCAGGTATAGCCCTTCTTCCTGGAGCATGAGCCGGCTGGGCTGCAACCGTGCACTTCGCTGGGCCGCCGTGCCAATTGGAGACCTCACTGCCTTGCTCCTCCTGGGGCGTGTCGCAGCATGGACATGCCGCATGGAGATGCTGGGTGAGGTGGTCACCCTTGGGGTGATTCAGAATCCATGCTGAATACAAAACAAACACTGAGGTCTTCTCCCCAAGAAACAACATTAAGATACTATATATATCATCTACCGCTCCCACTCACAGTACATGGAAGTGGATGGCATGGCCGCTTTGGAGGGCTACTGTCCTTTAGAAACAGTTGGCTGCCCCCACTTCGATGCGTTCGTCGTAGTGTGCGGTACCACTCACGGTCGTCCAAGCTGCTGCGAAGAAAACAAGCACTCCCGTCCTTCAGCTTGAGCGGTGAAGGGAGAACTCGAAGGTCTTCAACCTTCAAAGGAAAGAGCCAAAAGATCTTCAAATAGGTCGAACACAGGGGCCAAGGCCTCTACAGCTCGGCGTTCTTCTCAAAAGATCTTGGTGCCCCTGTGACTTGGGAAATGGCCCATGCAACCCAAGTCCCTCTTGGCTGTGGGTCATGGCACCAGCCCTGTTGACCCAGGTCGCCCAGTGCCATGATCCATAGCCATCAAGTCCCCGTCTCCCGGTGACGACGATATGGCGAGTGGCGAGTGGGGAGTGGTGTCGCCCGCCCTGTTGATGAGGTAAAGATGGTCGGTGGATGGTTTGGAGCATTACCCGGATGCGACCCCGGTCTCCCGGCCCCCGATGCTATGCAGGGGACCCGGTCATCCGAACTGGGAAAAGGGGTCTGGGGTTTCTCACCAATCCCTATGGTTTTGAGGGACCAAGGGCTCTGGGTAGCTTGATTTTCCAAAAGATTCTGAAGTACTATATATTTCATGGTCAGTTTTCTAGGCTTAACAGTTGACCCTCAACCCATGACTCTGGTTCACCCTCCTTAGTATTTTTTCTTCTAGAATTCCTCCCTTGCACCTGCGTCCCAAACTCATGCACCAGCCCCACTGGTCCTTCCACCAGCCCCACTGGTCGTTCCACTTCCCGTTGTTGTACCCCAACTCTTCCAACCAAAGGGGCCAAGGTGGCTGAGCGCAACTCCTCGACGAGCTTCGCGCTATACGCCTCCCCATCGGGTCGGTCCGTTCTGGCGCCCGACCGGAAGCGAAAGCTCGCTGAGGGGTGGGAGGGACTCTTTCTTGCAGCTTTCTTCGCGGAAACGAACCAAATACCCACGTCCCCACGTCCCCCCCTGTTTGGAGAGACACCCCATGTCACTTTTTTTTCAGGGGACTCTGGCAGTTTCGGAGAGTGAATAGGTGTGAAGCATGATGAATCATGGCCAGTTGAGACCGGACGATTCTCAGTGCTCCGAGAGATCTTGGTATATAACAGAATCCAACTTCTGGAGGCCCAGAACGATGCCGGAACCCTGCTGAACCCGGGGTCACCCAAGAGCAACCTGGACCCAAACCGCCCAACTCTCCCTGGCATCATCCGTCAGTCAGTGGACTCAGCACCACCTGTTTGGTCGGATTTTTCACATGGTCATCCTATGACCACTCGTCGGTCGCCTTGCACACTTGTGTGGAGGATTGCAAGGGCGGTCTATGAGCCCTGCACAACGTTCCCCTGGCTCATCTCCTCAGCTAAGGTGGGCACAACCTCCCCCCCTAACACAACTCAATGGAGGTAGGGTCATAGGAGCCCTGCCTTTTTGGCGGGAAGAAACATCGTCTTTTTGGAGAAAAAAACAACCGTTGGACACTCGGAAGCCATCAGCTTCAACAGAACTTCAGCATCCTGAAACAGCGGAGTGAAGCTGATTGCTTGGCTTGGTGCGTATCTGATCCAGCTTGAGACTTGAAGCTTAAGACCACGATAGACGGACCTGTCTGTGACTCGCGAAATCTCAACTTTCCAGACATACTTCCCATAACACATCCCTTTCAATAACTGGCATACAGTACTTCCTAGCTTCATCAAACTGCCATACAGTACTCCCAATCACCTTAGTGGGACTGACATCCGTGGCTCATCACGGCTCCCACGTCCACCCACCAACCCCGAAGCGTTTCGTTGGTCGTCCCAACCTCCGAACTGAGGCGATGGAGGTCTCCCAGATCCTGGGGGGACGAGCTGCGGTGGTGGACCACGGTCAAGCAGGTGGACCACGGAATCGGTGGACCACGGTGCCGGGGATTTAGTTAAAACACATTAAACAAAACAGCAGAAACGACCTTGGCGCGAGGCCACTTAGAGAGGCCAACTTGAAATCTTGAAGGATCAACCATGACTGGGACTTTTACATTGGAGTGCTTGGTTAAGGCATATTACTTCTGCTGCGGCATATCTTCCATTCCTGTCGTGTGTCTGAGTGAGTCTTATATTTGCATGAAAACGGTCGTTTAAATTTCGAAGTCGCTTTAACCAGTCCGAAGAAGGGCTTCAACCAGGGTATGCACGAAAGTCACAACAAAAAACATGGAAGAATCCAAAAAAACAAACACTTTACGTCGATTGTCATGACATGTCAATCATTTGTTTTCATGCCATGGTGGGGAGCAACCCTCACCTGTCCGGCGGAAAAAGCTGGCAAGTTGGCTGAAACAAAACGGCCAAAGCTGCGAAGCTTTAAGCCCCCCCACACCAGGGTTCCGAAGGCCGGAAGGGGTTCCGAAGGCCGGAAGGTCTGACATTTAAATAAACATCAAGCAGTCCCAGACACGACCCGTCTGGGACTGCCAGTCCGGACTGCCTTGTTTCACGGCCAGGGGTGGTGGTGCCAGAGGGGTCAATGTAGGCGGCATATATGGCAGTCCCATGGAGTGTCTGGGAGTTACAGAGGGGGTAGGCATTCTCGAAACGGTCGACCCACGTATGTGTGGCAGCTCAAATAGGGAGACCTCCACAAAATTCACTCCCTGGAAGAGGGAAACTAGACCAGTCTACCCATTGGTTGGAGATCTCCCTCACTATACTGTGCAGACTGGGCAGTTGAAGGCTTCTTGGAAATGGGACGTGCTATAATGACCAAGCTCAACCAAGCACGGTCCTCACCCCTGGACTAGTGAGGTCCTCACTGTGTTCATGGCGAGGTCATTTAATCCATCTCAATTGCTCTCACTTCAAAAAGAGTTCTTCTCACAACTGTTTCCATACTTGTCCACATACGTTTCCTCTTGAACCGGTTTTTCATCTGCTCCATCCACTTGCTGAATCTGAACAAACCTAAGAATCCGAGCCGCAAACCAACACATAGGGCCATAGGGTCTTTGAGACTCCGGACCCCCGGAAGACTCCTTCGAGGTCGGGTCGCCTGCCATGGAGGGCCCGAGCTCGGATTCATAGGGAAAACCACCCAAACGGCCTGTCCCCACGACAAGCGCCAACTCCGAGTGTCTGCCAAGGCCAAGTTGTCACCTCAGCGGGCGAAATCTTCCACCCGCCCCAATGACCGCCCTGGTAGGGGCAATAGACCAGTCTACCCAGCCACTGCCAGGGTGTTCCCCCCCTTTCTTCGAAAAACACACCCACATTCACATGGTGGCCATACCATGCCTTGACATACGGTGCCGGAGGGAGTCCCAAAACCGAAAACACTCCTTGTCTGGGATAGTCTGTACACCTACCAACACCTACCAGCTACTGTCGTTCAAGGTGCTGGCTGGGCTGTCACAGCCTACTACTTCTAGGTCTTGAGACAAAGACAGGACTTCCAGAAGAACGCCTTTTGGCATCCGAGATACGGAAGCTGGTCGGGACCACCATACTGGATAGGGGCGTCCTGGCGCCACGTCGTAAGTGTGGCGGGCTGACTTGGCATGCGTGAAAAAGTGGATGGAGTCCATCTACCAGGACCGAAACCAAGCCCGGTGGTTTTTGGATGCCCCTTAATCTCTAAGAGGCCATGTATAGACACCTCTTGGAAGGTCCTGGTACTTGGCTAAATGGATAATTCTCCGGTCGATTGAACAACACATCACAGTCTCAGCAACCCTCAAGTATGTGCAACCAGGCATTAACCAGCAGCTATATATATTTGCTGCATGCAATCTCAATCAATGACATGGGGATCATTTTCTCTTGTTTTTGGGAACGGGAGAACTGTTCAGTGCATGTCAACCCTGTTGCTAAATCAACCGTCTCTGTCCAAGCTGGTGGGACTTCACCAACAAGCTGGTGAAGACCAAAGCCTCGCCTAAACGGTGGCAAGCACTCGTATTTCTTGAGTCACACCATGTCACACCTACCCCAGACACTGCATATATATGCCGATCAGTTGGGGTGGTTTGAGGGGTCAATGGGGCGGCATGCCGCCCCATTAGTCGTGTCTGGGTACCTTTCAGCTTTTCACTTCCCACCGGCAAACAAAGAGAAAAAACACTTTGTCCAGTCATCCACGTGTCCAGGCGCTGGGCCAGCGGGCCAGTCTCACATACGACGGTCATACGACTTCAGTTCTCAGTTATATGGATCCGTACGCATATACTTCCATTTGTGAAAAAATGCAAAGGGCAAGTATCAAAACTATCCAACATGAGAAATTGTCAAAACTAGCCCTTTGTTCATGTCAAACAACATGAGAAATGTGATGCTCCCCAAAGAGCCTTGTTTTCTGCCTGATCAGACTGGAGAAACAGCTTACTGGGCCCTCACCAAAAAAATACATGCACAAATTCCAACCCTCGGCCCGTCCAAACCCAACATTCTTCCACGAACCAACACCCCGGTCTAACGGGTTTACACCGCGGTCCCTTGTGCTCGCTCCACCCGCACGCGTGGCATCTCAGGGATGATATGCCTCAACGTGAGGCTGTTGGAAAAACATGAGGACAAGTTCAAGAAGCGTGTGGTGGATGGGGATTTTCTGGGTGTTGATGAAGCGTGTTTCTGTGAGTTGTTGTTGGGAGGTTGTTGATGAAGCTTTGATTTAATGTCAAGTCCGTAGCAGTGAGTGTGAGTGTGAGTGTGCTTTTGTGTGAGTTGTTGTCAGCAGGTTGCTTGATGAAGTTTTGACTTGAGTTAAGTCAAGTGAAATAACACACAAAGCAACATGACCCCGTCATACCCGTCAGCTTCACTGGAAAAGGAAAGTCAACAGGGGACATGAGTCCAAAAATGCTTTAAATTTTATCCATTCACTGGATGGGACTTTTACCTCCTTATGCACGTTGTCCATGTGTTCTTGCTTCCATCCATCCCTGGGTCCGCAGCTGCTTCCGCCCGAAGGAAGAGCGTCCTCATGCCGAGTGGTTGAGTGAAGATCGGTTGAGTCAAGTAAAGAGAACAAAATTATACCAGCATAGACCCCAAGCAGCTTCAAAACGATTCGTTTGGACCAAAATTAGTCCAAAAAACGACTTCTTGGTACGCCCTACCTTCCCCCCCGAGAGCAAACTGCTTCATCAATGATTTTTGTCGGCATCGACATCGCTATTTGTTCGGCCACACTCCTCTCCAGTAAACCGGGCCACAGAGACCAGCCACAGAGTTCAGGGGCGCAGCCAAGACAAGGACAAGAGGAGGACAAGACCCGGACACAGAGCTCAGGGCGCGGCCAAGACAAGGACAAGAGGAGGACAAGAGGAGAACAAGGCCCGGACACAGAGCCGGGCCACAGAGCCCAGCCACAGAGTTCAGGGGCGCGGCCAGTCAGTGTGGCCAGCTCTTTTTTTCTAGGTAAGATAGAACCCCAACAGTAAACTGCTTGGGGAAAAACAGCTTTAAGCAACCATGTGATCACAAAACATATAACATCACGAACAATGTTTCGCGTATTATTTGTGTGGTCTGTTGTATGATAAGTTAATGACAATACGCGGAATAATAATAAGCCAGCCTGGAAGAGAAGAAACTTATACATGTTTCATCTTTCCGTAGTTCATTGTTATCAAGAATATATTCTTAAAGGGTATCCTTGAATTAAAAGACCCATTGGAGGTAGGGGCGAGACGTCTCACCAAAGCTTCGCTTCTACCTATGCAGAGGTACAGTAACCAGTTCAGTATGCAACACCATGAGAACATGAGCACAAGCTAATAAGGGGAACAAGATGGAACAAGTAACTATAAGACCGTCTTTCATGCGAAAACAATCACATTAATGCTAGAAAAGCGAGCGTTTCGCTCCAAGCCCTTGGCTCCAGTGCTTCTGCCAGAAGTTCCGAGGCCATTGTGGCAGCAAAGAGCCTGAGTGGAGGCCGGGGCATCTGGAGGATGGAGGAATCATCTTGAGATACGAAGAACTTGATGCGTCGGAGGTACAGTAACAACAGGGATCAGAGTAAAGTCATAACCGTCTTAGTCTTCCGAATGATGTCAAATGCAGAATCAGCGGAGTGAGGACCGGGCCTTTTTTTTGTGAGCCTTTTTTTGTTGTGCATTGAGATAGACTCATGGACCAACTAAACAGATCCTCTGATCCTCACTGGGGTACCATTCTCCTCGCGATCTGGATCCACTCTCTTCCGTTCCCTTCACCTCTGAGCTTGCACACGCACCAGGTGCTCCGTGGAAACCATCCAAGCCACGCTGGAGAAGGCATCGACGCCTCAGTCAACGTCGCCCCCGCTGCATCACCGGGCCGTCCGTTCACTCCAAACGACCGGAGGAAGTGAGACTTCTTAGGAAGCACCTGGACCCGACTTCAAGTACCTTAGAAAATGGGACATGACATGACCTTATAAAAACAGGTACTAGACTACCCATTTTCCGAGGTACGAACTGAGACTCCAGGTAGTTCAGTTTGGATCTGCTTTGGTTGAGGGTTCCACATGTGTGTGTGTGGAGCAAACAAGTCCTAAAAAGTCGGTGGGATCTCCAAGAAACTGCCTTCCCAGACGCTCCAAACAGCCTTGGTCTCTCAAAACGCTAAGTATTTGAGACCCCTGACCCCTCCATAGGATTCGGGTCCGACCCCTCCATATGAGGGCCCAGGGTCGCGCCTGGGTTAACAACCTCTTTTGATCACCGGACTCACGTCGGACCTTTTGGACAAGGTCGGTCCGGGTACCTTCCGAGTCGGAGGAGGGCCGTGTTCACCGGTTGTGACCGGTCTGAATGACCCTACAGAGGTGGTTTTCGTGACCAGGTCACGAGTCGGACCCGGAAAACCAGGGGTACCGAACTAGCATAGTCGAAGGTTCGGGTTCCACCTCTGCTGGGATCTCTGTCCGTGTTGGATCCGAGACCAATTTCCAGGTCTGAAACAAACACCGTCGGAGCGACCGCTGAGCGGCTCCCGTTTCGGCCTAGAAGGGAGCTCCCTTCTACCGCTCATCCCACATGTCACTCCATTCCTTGGATTTGGTGTCCCAAACAGTTTTCTTGACATTTGTGTCCGGCCCCCAACCTAAGCTTATACAGGCAAAATACCCAATCACCCCAGAAGCACTCGGATTTCACTGCCTGGGAACCTTGCCGAGGCGCCGACCTCCCCTCCCTCCTTCTGGGCTTCCGACGCAGCAAGCGGTGCGGATCGGAGCTGTAGGGGCCCAAGGCGTTCTCGTTCCAGGCGCTCACCTTGAAGAAGCGATGAATCCATCGGTCCGGGAAGAGGGGTCTGAGACGTCCGGTGAAGAGTGCTTTTATTGTTGAATGTGGGACATAGCCCCTCGAACCCCCCGCGAAATCCTTAGGTATAAAGAAAACATGATAAAATAAACCCACCCTGGTAGTCTATTCAGTCTATTCAGTGGTGTTTTTTAACACGAATCCTCCTGTTTTGATCTGCCATTTGAGTGTGGGTCCGGTCAAGGGGTCTCAAGGAGCCGGCTGCATCAAAAAGGGGCGCGATGATGGCCTGATGGCCTCTGATGGTGAAGAGACTAAGTCTATGGTGCCATGTTTCCATGGTTTCCTAGTAAAACAATCCTATAAGCCTATAAATATTCACCTGAAGCCCGGCTCATCCCCCCCAAAGTGACTGAGTCATTGGCGTGACCAACACATCTTCTCGCATCTATAAATATTGGTATGTTCAATCCTCCCTATCATCTGCCACCGCTCCTGGATTCTGAAGAACTCAGCCCCCATCTTCGTAAGCCACCTCCTTCCCTGTTTCTGCTGCGTCCAGCCCGGAACCGCGGAGCCCGGAACCGCGTCTCCAAGCCGCCCGGACGGAGAAGATGTCCTCCCACTGAAGCACCGCTTGGAGCTGACCGAAGTACAAGAGGATGTCGTACCTCCGGTCGAGTCGAGTCGAACAACGCGGACGCCGTCTGCACGCGGCCCCAAACGGGTCGAGTCGAACAACGCGCGACGGCCGAAGACACGCCGTTGCGGGGAGCTCGACGGTCTTTCTGAGTCGCCGGGCGAGACAACCACGTCTTCTTCCTGGGAGAGTGGGAGAGTGCGGATCTGTTGGAAACTGGATCAAAGGAAGTCCTAGCTGTTGGAGACCGTGGAAGTTCCATGAAGATTCGTTGTGTGATGTGGGGTATAGCCCATATTTACGCGGGTCAGTCAGTATATATAGCTATACCAGGGCTCCCTAAGAGGTGTCTAAATATAGCTCCTTAGAGGTTAAGGGGTATGATACCACTGTATCCACAACCACCCCTTAGGGGGGCCCTGGTTCGGGCTATACAGTTGTGCATGGCGCATGGCTTTCTTTTTATCAGCCCAAATGACTTCATTCAAGGAGCATCTCGAGATCCCATCAGTTGCCATATCCCGATTGATGCTTCGGTCTTCTCGAGTTGATACATGGAACAGTAGAATATGATGATAACAATTTCAATTGTAGTGTTGCTGCCCCGAAAAGGGGTCAATGTAGGTAAATATGCCGGTCCCATGGAGTGTCTGGGGTTGGATGCTGAAACCTTCTATCTGTCTTAGACTCTCCCCAACTGATGTGTCCCTTCTGGCGTAGTTTCACAACCATAATGTCACAACCAACAGGCTGAAAAAATGGTGACTGCTACCACATTGATCACTGAGATTACTGTCTTATGCAAGGCAATTATGGTTACCATGTGCCAAGGAATATTTTCTTGTCCTGCAGTGGTTTATTGAACTTGGGGAGGTCTCGCATGGTCCCTATATACACCCGTATGATGCTAACAGAATCCCATGATGCTCAACGGGTCAATCCGGTGGATTTTGGTCTAGCCCTCCTGGAAGGTGCCAGTGACTGGAGCAGCTCCACCAGGGCTCCCCGCTAGGATCACCAGCGCTGGTTTATCACGAAAGGGGCCCTTGGCGGACACCACGTGCTCCAGGGCCAGTTTGTAGTGCAGCGCCTGGGGGGATGCTTCGGAGACAATAAGCAGAAAATGGATTCAAAGTGGGGGGGGTGTGATCAAGAAGTCATTGATGGATACAACATGATACAAGATCGCAAACAAAGTGATGATAGTCATTAATTACATGCTACTGACAAATAGTACTAACCAACTTCAAACGACCTCCAACGAAACTCAGCAAGGTGCTTGGTGATCAGCTGCAAGATCGCCAGTCACAGTCACAGTCACAGCCATCCTTCCAACGCTGAGAACGCCCTCCTCCGTGACTGCTCCGTGACTTCACCGCCAAACACGTCGCTTCGGTCCAAAACATCGCCCGCTTGTCGAGCTCGTTCTCAAGAGGTCCCGGTTCTACGGACACGACCTACGACCACCTGAGACCTGAGACCGGAAGAATCCACGTCAGACGGGAGCGGAATGCCATGAGGTTTAGCGGGTACGAAGATGTCGGCCCCGAAGCTTCTGAACCCTGGTGAAGAAGAGCGGATGGGAAGGTCTCTGGAAGTTCCAGGTACCGACACGGGCCCCAAATCGGAGACCACTTCTCCCTGGTTTCGTTTCCAGGAGTCGACTGAAGCAACGGTCTGATGATGACGATGACGAGTTCGGTCCGAGTGAGTGCAGGAACTGACACTGAACACGACCGGGTGGTGCCTCAAATTGTCGAACTGGCCTTCTAGGGTTGATATACCCGTTTGGGTTTGGTGTCTTTCCCCCCCTGGAATACCATTGTATACTGGAATACCTGGATCCATGGAGTAGGCACTTCAAATTCCCTATACATCATCCTCATTCATCCTCCAAGGAACCGCCCCATCGGAAAAAGACATAACACCATGCCCACTCAAATAGCCCACTCTGCCTCCTTCTCTCCGGCGGACTTCACACCTGGCACGGAGCAAGGAGACCACCCCACCACCCGAGCTTCGATGCCTCGCGCCCTGCGCTCCGCGCGACGTGCGCGCGCCTGTGTCCACCTGCTGCCAGCCGACGCGGAACTTCTGAGCCTCACGTCTCACACCGCGGTGGTCAGTGGTGGGTCCAAGGATTTCATCGGGGCTTTAATGGGGAGATGTTCATCATAGAATGGCCCTTGAGGGCGAGAGCAATGCAGTTCCACTTTCATCTTTACATGCTCAAAAAGACGTTGCTCATATGGTGTCCAAGAGAGCCTTCTTTGAGCCATTTCAACTGGACAATCACACTCCTTGAAGTAATCATGGATACGTGGCATGGCATGGCCCTGATTTCGGAGGACCACGAAATCCGAAGACCAAACAGCTGGTTTTCACTCCACTTCAAACGGATCCTTTTCAAGCAGATGGTCGTCTCTCCTATGGACCACTTGATCATAATAAACCCCCTGGGACTGGAAAGATTATTGACACTGGTCCATCTTCTTCCAGTTTTGTCCTGTCCATATGTTTCAAGTGGTATCAAGATGTTTCAATGCCATGTATGTATGCGACCATGATTGACCACGGTAACTGTTTTTGAACACCGCCCAACGCCTCGAGCTTCTCGCAGAACTTCAGGCACCACAGGCCATGACCCACGGCGGGCCCCAGCGACCAGCGACGAGCAGGACTCCCCGCCGTGATTTTGGCCTGATCGCCATCGCCATCCTGGAAACACGCAGCGCTGGGTGGATGGGATCGCCATTTTTTGAAGGTTACCATGTTCTTACACTCCGACGAACACATCACATGGAAGTGGAAAACCTTCTGTTTGTAAAGGAAAGTCATCTTCCAAGGGGTCATGCCATCCACTTCCATGTTAGTGAGGTTACCATGTTCTTAAACCCTTTCATATCCCAAAGTCTCAGCTCCCGTGGCCTAGCTATTTCTGACGGATACAAGGGGGGGAGTAGAGAGCGCTGTTTTTTTTCCGTCTCAAAACATGCTGTGAACATATGCTGACATGCTGACTTCCAACTGCCAAAAACAGGATCCAGCCATCAATGAAGCGCTTATATTATCGTGCACGATCCAACCATCTCCAAAGCCCCAAAGAAGCGCGCCCTCTCTCCTGCGACACGAAGACCATGTGCTTGTTGTATCCGTAGGCCTCCCGCTCAGCGGTGCGCTCCCGCTCGGCGAGGAGGCTCGCTAGCAAGTGGAATCTAAGCGAAATCAGCATCTCTCTGAGGTGGTTTGATTCAAACATCGGACCAATCCCTAGGCTCCATGGATTTAAGAGTCTTCCCGAAACGACCATGATTACTAACTAATTAGTAGGGTTTTACATGACGACACCAAATGAACCATTTCAAAACCGGTCTTGGACTCCCAGGGTTATATATTATCTATTATTATCTATATCCGGTAGATGACAGTCATCCCATGAAGAAAGCAGACCGCAAACCTCCACCTGCAAACCAGAACTGAGAAGTCAACTTTTTCTGCAGCCTACTTCAGTTTGGGGTTCACCTGGTGAAGGAGCTCAGCCCACCGACCTCTTCCGGGATCTTCAACCCGGACACCCCTGGATCTTCATGCAGGTGCACATATATCGTTTGGTCCAGTGTTGGTGCATACCTCGTCCGGTGACGTAAACGTCTGCGCATACCTCGCGCTCGGGTGCGCGCGCCTGGGACAAGGACTGCAAGGAGCGCTCTAAGGAACGAGGACCTGGGACCAGAAGGTGCAGAGGACCTGGGAAGCTGGGCATGACATCTGAATGCTGATGTGTCCTTTTTTAGGAGATTCCCCCAGAGGTGATGAGTCTCAACTGCGATCGAAGCTGAGATTGATATAGACTCTATCCAGGATCCAACAGGTCTCCAACCTGGTGGCTTTTGCAGACGGCGTCGCGACGGTGGTGGATGCGGGGGGGGATCACCCTCGCTTCACCACCCTCTTGGCGCCGTGAAACCATGACTTGACTTGTATGAGACATGAGACATATCCCAGACACGACTCATGGGACTGGCATAGATGGCACGCTGCAGACAGACCCCAAACAACCCCAACTGATAGGCATATGTGGCAGTCCCATTAGTCGTGTCTGGGTATCACAGCTTTGACACTCCAAACAGTGTTCAAGTTTCAGGAACTCCCTATGTACAAGTTCCATGAAGTCTACCTTTTGCGGGCCACCCCCCCCCAGACCCCCTAACTATCCCTAACTACTCACTTCGTTCGCCAAGCACGGTCCAGGTACAGCATGGTCCTAGACTTCCGAACTCGATCGTCCTAGGCTTCGCCGACCTTCGCCGGGCTGGGCTTCCCCCGCGCAGGCCACTGGCCAAGACCTGCCACTCCGCCGCATCGGACCGAAGGTCCCAGAACGGTGACCGTTTTCGGGTGGAGAGCCGAGGTGGATGACGTGACGTGAACGAGTCGGATCCCGGAGAATACCCAGGGGTTTCCCATCGCGGACCGGAGAGTCGAACGTGACCGGGTTCGCTCCCCACCTCGGCTGCGACAGTTTCTACCCTAAGGATCCTTGGACCCTCCTTAGAAGGGGTCGAACCCTCTATAACAAGGGTTTGTACCCTCATGTATCCTCAAAACCCTTGTTTTTGACCCAAACCTGCTGGGTCATCCGATGCAAATCTGTGCCCTTCGGACACCAGGTTGCTCGACTTGGAGGTGAAACCAGGACCGACACCAACAAGAGGTGTCTATAAATACAGTAGCCTCTTAGTGGTTAAGGGGGGGTCCTGGAAGGGGTAAACTATTCTGTAATTCTTTCCTCTGTCATTCTATTAAGAAGTAAAGCCATTGCACCCAGCCCTGCCCTGCCCAGCCGCACCAGGTCGCAAACCGATCGCATTTTCCCGACCAGGTCGCTGCAAACTCCGAAAGCGAAAGCGAAACGGGTCACGGGCCTAGCAATGGTGCCATTGCTGGGGACAAACCCCGCCCTGAAACGAAACCAGCTGTATTCGCATTCATGACAGTGACACAGTGACACTCCTTTCAAATGATTCTTACCCCTGTAGTTTGCCCATGTTTGCGCGTCCCGAACCTGATGGACAGCCACAGCAACGACAGTGACACTCGGTGGCTGTGATTCTTTTGCACACCGAATCTGGGACGGTCAAGTTCACCAAAGAATAGCAAGCAAAAAAGGCACTATGCCCTATGTGTGTAACTGAATTCGGGATGGTCAAGTTCACTAAGGAGCTGCAACGACAAAAGGCAGAACCCTCAATGCGCGTCACTGAGTTTGGGATGCTCAAGTTGACCAAAGAGC